GCCATGGGCACACCTCGACGGTCGTCCTACTTGCTTAACCAACATGTCGTCAGACCGTCCATCTCGGTGGACCCACTGCCTCCCTTTGTGCCTGACTTGACAACTCTGGGCAATGATCAAAGCACTCGCCCGTCCATGGATATCGATCGTCCTTTGTCGGAGTTCATCGGGCCTTCTTCCAGCCGTCCTACTTTGTCAAGGTCAACGAAAAAGCACATTCGGCAAAAGTCAAGCAGGACAAATAGATCCCTTGACTCAGCCGTCGTCCACCGGCGCACTACCTCATTTGGAAGTACCTTCAACCCGCGCTCAACAGTCAAGAGCTTCGACGCGACCACGTACACTGAAGGCTCCGTCGCTGACGAGGATGAGCCGAGCCCCGTACCTCAGCCGCTCCGGATTCTGAGAAGACGACCAGGTGGAAACCTGCGCGCATTCAACAACGGGGGCGACGGGGATGCCTTGCCCTTGCGTAAGTCACGGTCGGCAGGCTCCCTCACAACCTATTCAGAATCCATGCGAAGCTCCTATTTGCAGAGCCCAAAGCATGATTCTAGTGCGTTCGTTGACGTCGTGTCGAGCGAGTTCTCCCACCGAGGCGATGCCGATAATTTTTCCCTGGGCGCAATGGCTGAGCCATCGGCAAAAAGACAACTCTCGCTCTTCAGCACCCACTCGTCCAAGCCCATCATGCGTCCTTCATTTGAAGCTGAGGCGCAGAAGCTCGCCCAAATTCCCGACGATGAAGATGATGGTGGTGTAGAATCAGCATTGGCCAAGTTGGAAGGCAAGTATGAGAAGAAATCTTTCAAATTGTCCATGGAGCCCACAAATGCTCCTCTCCAAGGTGTCGATACTGCAACGGATCTTGAAGGTGAACCCGCTGAGGCGCAAAAGCAAGAAAAGAGAGGGCATCGTCACTTGCACGTTCTTCCTGTGGACGCCGCCGCCGTGGCCCAACAAGAAGAGGGGTCAGAGCCCCGCTCCAGCTTTCTCGACGTTCCCAACGGACCTCGAACCGATGCGAGTTCTTTCTTATCAGATAACTCGGCAGGCTCGTATTGCTCCATTCCTCTTCTTGAAAGAGGTTTGGCAGACGATGGCCAGAGTAAGGCATCCGCGCGGGAATGGACCAACATGTCTGTTCTTCAAGACCCCGAGGAAGAAATTTCACCAGCAGTGACTCCTCGCCCAATGTTCGAGGGATCATCTCACACATCTTCGTACGAGTTCATCCGGAAGACGGAAAGCCTGGAAAAGATCAAGTCGGGCTATTCCCCGCCGAGCGAGCAGTCATTTTTAGATGACGACAGTGATGGAGAAGACTTTGGTTCTGACCTTTCGTCCGAGCTGTCAGCCGAGATTGTCGAGCCCGAAGAGTTTGCCATGAACCAAACACAACCTCTTCCGGACCGCAATGCTCACCGCAGTGCATCCATTCTGGAGTTCGATCCTCGACCCTTGAGAGAGTCGACCATGGGTCCTTCAGACAGCCGAGAACCTCCGTCGCCACCAATGACGCTTGTCCAAGCTCTCCAGATGTCACCTGAGGCCGCCCTGGTTCCCGAGCTTCACGAACATCAGGTGTATCAGCAAAAGCCCCTACCGCCGACTCCCGACACCACTCCGGGGGCGAACCAGCCCAACTCGCCACTTGACCCTACCGGCACCAGAGAAGCACTGCGCGGGCAGCCAAAGTATTCTGAACGCGAAAGAGAATCGTCCTTAAGATTCTCTGTTCACTTACCGTTCACGCTTGCGTTCGACTCGGAGATTCTAGCTCAACAGTTCACGCTGATCGAAAAGGATGCTCTCAATGAGATTGACTGGAGAGAACTCATCGACATGGGTTGGAAGAATGCTACCAACAACGACTCTCGGTCCTGGGTTGATTTCCTTCGCAACACGGATGCTCATGGCGTTGAGGTTGTCATTGCGCGCTTCAACATCATGGTGAAGTGGGCATGCAGCGAGATCGTGCTGACTCAAAATATTGAGGAAAGAGCACGATGCATCATCAAGTATATCCACATTGCTGCTCACTGCCGCCGATACCGCAACTTTGCGACCATGAGTCAGATCGCCATCGCCCTGACTTCGATGGAAATATCTCGGCTTACAAACACCTGGGCCATGGTACCACCTTACGATATGCAGACTCTGCGGGAGTTGGAAACTCTCATCTCCCCTACCCGCAACTTCTACAACTTGCGTGCCGAGATGGAAGTTGGCTCTGACACAGGCTGCATTCCATTCGTAGGCATCTACACCCACGACCTTCTCTTCAATGCTCAAAGACCCTCGGAGATTGCTAGCTCCCCAACCACTGCACCGCTGGTCAACTTTGAGAGGTGTAGGTACGCCGCGACCATTGTCAAGACACTGTTGAGGCTGCTCGAGGCCAGCACACTCTACGAATTCCAACCGGTTGAGGGTATCACCGAGAGGTGTCTCTGGATGAGTGCTCTAAGCGATGAAGAGATTCGCAAGCACTCTCATCGTCTGGAGTAAGCCAGCTATTGGCATCCTTCATGGCGCGTAATTACAAACAAATAAACCTCACGAACGCCAGTACGACCGCTTCGGGTTTGGACCCTCAGAAAACACCCCTGCATCATACGTGCGCCCTGCACGCGACCTTCGCTCACGCCCAAGTCTCCTTTCTCTCTCATCATCATACGTGACGAACGCGTATCCCGACTACATCACTAATTCGATGCTCATTTTGGGCATCGTCATTTTTCACGTCGCCCTGCTTTGGTTTCAAAGCAGTGGCCATATACCCTGTACTGATACTTACAATATGATATCACCGGAACCTTATTTAAGGCTCAGCAACTGGAGGAGAGGGGGGAGGAAGAAAGAACAGGCCAGGGATGGCCGAGCATTGCACATAGATAGCGATGGTCTATACCCCTTACTTTGCGTCATTTAAGCGAGCGAGCGACCATATCAACTAGGACAAGGAGTTGAGGGGGAGGAACAAGGGGATCTTTTTAACCGGAAGGGAAAGGACATTCTGGGTGTCCTGGGCTCGAGATTTTCTCGGGCAACGTTCAATACCCCTTTTGCATGTTGGACTTCGGCTCAAGGAGGCGAGTCGATTAAACAAACATATTCAGATTCTTCAAAACCTTGTGCACCCATCTTTGACTCTGATATGATGTCTATGCATGCGTACGTGAGAACAGAAACTTCGGTGTGAAGTACCTTGAGCAACACCTTGCTGGCTTCGAAAGGGCTAAGCTAACCGACAAAACACTTCTAGAAACCTTACCCAACAGAAAGTGGGCCGGATCCGCGACTTGCTGCCGGTCATGTACCTCCGGTGATGAGGGAGGGCAGTAGGACGGCCACCCGCCACTATGCGCTTGTTTTAATCTTGACAACTGAAATCAGTTTTGAGAGAGATAGTGGCCGCTGCCCTTCTTGTGGCTCACTTGGTGTTTGTTTGCTGGTATCTGTCCCTCGATAATCCCAATCAGGCTTTTCAAGAAGTGGATAATCATTGAGCGAGCTCATCCATTTGATTTCGGTCCAAGTATATAGTGGATAGGTTTGATAGGGTATAATAGGGTATAGCGCATATTATAACTCCTAAGTCGTGTCTTCTTTCACGTCCTAGCGGATCGGCTGCGGTACCTTGAGTACCATTCCACCTTCTGAGTGCTCCAGAAGGATGGTGTAGCAAAGTTTGGGCTGACGTCTTGACCGAGACGAATGTGAATCTTCTAATCTCAATTGGGAGATATCCAGGTAAGTTAGATTAGGGATTGAGAAGTGTAAAAGTTGAATAACACCGAGCAATACAGACGGTAGTCTTTGCCAGATTTCTCAAATTCCATATCCAAGGTAAGAACGCGAGAATCTGGTGCGAAACTCTTCTCCGTTCTCTGGCTTCTGCATAGCAGATGAATCGGTCACTTATGTGAAAGTGATTTTTCAGATTTCCCAACTGACTCAAGGGTTTCACTGCTCGAATGGTATACATTGATGGATCAATGTGTAACGAAGTCCTCGCACTTCACCGGCTTTTTTTGAGCCGGCTGTTCAGTACCAGCCAAATTTGTGTTGCTCACCTTCTCTTTCTCACTTCTAGTTTGGACCCTTTTAGTAAAGAAGAGACAAAGGCAGGTAAATTACTGACAGCTGACCAGTGTCGCGTCATTCGGTAACTTTCTCTCCTCGTTTTTGTTTGGGATCGGCCTCTGTCAATGATCCCACTTTGCTGGTGGAGGAAAGATGGAAAAAAAGAGGTGAACGCAACCTTGGTTACGCAGCGGCTGGATCGAGTATGATCAGAGGATCTGGTTGTACTAGGATCTCGCTTCTATGGCTGATTGACCGCAACATTGAAGAAGTTGGACGGCTATGGCAATCCATGCTTCGGACATGTATGGCGGAGGACAGCAGAAGCGGAAGGCACTTGGGAGACAACGATCCCTTGAAAGAATAACTAAGGCATGTCACTGGGTTAGGAAGATAGGGGCGGCAAGGAGCAAGACCAAGTCACGAAGACGCAAGGTGAATCAAAGGTTGAGGGACCGACGGGGTTGTGGTATTTCAAGTCCTCAAACATTTCATGATTTTTTCGACCAGAAGCTTTCAACGGAAAGCAAGCAAAAGAAGAGCGGGATAACGATTAAGTCCACCCCTTTTGGCCACACAGGGCTTTCCCTCTCCCCAAAACGACATCACAAACAATTGGTGGTTTGCCGACTATTTCACAATGTTTTTTGGTTCGAGTATCTTTCCCTCATTAGTGCAGACCAAGTTGACCCTTTCCTTTTTTGCCCCCAAGATTGCTACCAGCGATCATAAAAGAAAAAAACTCCGCCAGAGTCTTTTATCTACCATTCCATGACCATTTGCTGTTCCGCCGTTTTGTGGATATCTTTCGCACACCGTGCTTCGATGACCGGTGCGTTTGTAGGTTGATGTGTTTGGGGGAATCCTCTCGTTTTGTGTGTCATGCCGACACATGAATGATGAAAGGGAGTTTACCAGGAAGACTCCTTGGGGGCAGCAGCGGCAGCGTCGCCGGCAGCGGCCCAGTCACCGGTGGGAGCGGCGCCAGCGGCAGCCCACTCATCACCAGCACCGTCCCAGTTGGCACCAGCCTGAGCACCGGTGAAGCCGGGAGCCTGGGCGTCCCAGTCGCCGGTGGCGGGGAAGCCGGACTCAATGGCGGCAACGCCCTCCTCCTCAACGCCGGGGAGCTTCTCCTCCTCGACCTTCTCCTCGGCCTCAGCCTCGGGGTCGCGGTCTATTTGATGTGTTAGTTCTCACTTATTCCACATCTCTCGTGCAGAGCATGCTTATAGGGAGGGGATTCCACATACAGAAGTACAGATCGACCATGGTGTCCCAGGGGGTCTCGCGGTTGTAGATGGTGCCGCGGAGGCGGAGGACCTCACGGGCGAGCATCCACCAGACGAGACCGATGGAGTGACGACCCTTGTTGTTGGTGGGGATGGCAACGTCGACGTACTCGGTGGGGGAGTCGGTGTCGCAGAGGGCGATGACGGGGATGTTGACGTAGGAAGCCTCCTTGATGGCCTGGGCATCGGTACGGGGGTCGGTGACGATGATGAGGCGGGGCTCCTTGAAAGAGCGGGTGATGTAGTTGGTGAAGGAACCGGGGGTGAAGCGACCGGCAATGGCGACGGCGCCGGTGTGGGCGGCGAACTTGAGGACGGCACGCTGACCGTAGGGACGGGCAGAGATGACGCAAATGTCAGCTGGGTTGTCGACGGCGGCGATGATGCGGGCGGCGAGGACAATCTTCTCCCTGGAGGCGCAACAAGTCAGCGATTTTTGCGCTGGCGCAAATTGAGGAGCGCAACAGAGGTTTCCTTGGTGATTTTCTGTTCTCCAAGTTCCCCGAGAGGAAAACCTCTCCAACGCGTCGCTTTCTTTGCTTACCAGGTCTTGCCAACGTTGATCACGTTGACACCGTCGGCACGGGTCTTCCACAGGTAGGGCTCCATGTGAACCTGGAGGTTCTTGCTTCCCAGGTGGGCTTGAGCTGCAAGCAGCATCTCAATGTCCTGGGAAGTGGCATTGAAGATCGAGGGGAGGTTAGCGGGAGCCATCTTGGGCGATTTCGGTCTTTCTTCCACGGGGAGACGGTGTCGAACGGTGGTGGTGCGGAAAGGGAAGAAAGTCAAGATTTCGCGATCCTCGAAAAAAGTTCGCCCAGTTGTGCGTCTCGAATTCGTGGGTGAGTGGGCAGCTCCTGCCTCTAGCAAAGCCCTCGCTAGGCCCTTGTGGTCCAAGCGTCTCCAAGTCCCGCAAGAGTACGTACCTGACAAGACTCCGGGATCACGTGATGCGTAGGAAAGCCGCTAGTACTCTCTGGGGGCGCCTCCACTCCCAGGGGATGTGCAGCGGAGGACGAACGGGCCGGACGCCATTGGAGTGCTGCTCTCTAGATATGGGACCAGACTCTAGGAAATTTTATGGTTCCCATTGTCGATGATCGCGCGTTGAAGGGAAACTGCTGTCGCCATGCCTCCCAGATTACAGAGCCTGCAACGGCTAGGCACCGCTAGCTGTAAGCTTCAGGCTTATTCTAGGGGATACAAGAAGCAATTAAAAAGCTAATTGACTGTGATAGTGTGCCTACGCCCAGCTATTAGACCGACCCCGAGCTTCCTCCCCGTCATCCAGACCGCGAATCTTTCCCAGCGCGAGAAGAAGCGCAAAGCGAAGCAGGATCCGTACAAACACCAACAGGCGCTACAACGCAAGGCTGCCAACCAGAAGAGACAGAGCGAGATCCAGGCGGAAAAGGATGCGAGCTGGGGCGACCCGATCCACGGCATTCCGACTCCTTTCGTGGAGTCGTTCGACTCGGCCGGCCAAGCGCCCACAACGAAGCCCGTCAAGGACGACAATGGAAACATCATCTCCGATCCTCGCCCTCTGCCAACTTCGCCGGGGCTTCTGAACCACCTCGTCGACGAGAAGGAGCTCCAAGCAGTGATAGACAAGGCCTACATTTTGACGAAACCTGTTAAGTCGGAAATCAGGGAGCTGGCAGACCCTGCTATGGAGGCATTGGCGGACCAGAAGCATGAGCTGGTTCACGCCAAGGCAGTAGAGGCTCTGAAGCGTATTCTGTCTATGGACAATGCCAACTCGAAGATCCTTCTCCACACCAACATCAAGAGATGTGTCGAGGAGTTTGGCCGACACAACACCGACAAGTTTCTGACGAAGAAGCCCAAGTCTGCTCTCGTGGATCCCAAGGCCCCCAAGCCGCCAATTCGGGGCGGCCCCGACACTGGCAGCTCGGAGGTGCAGGTTGCCATTCTGACCGCCAAGATCAGGAAGCTCTCGCACGAGCTGTCACAGAACCGTGGTTACAAGGACAAGCACAACAAGAGGAACTTGAGGGTCCTGTGCCACAGGCGGCAAAAGCTCCTCAAGTACATGGAGCGCAGTGAGAGGGGAAGCGGGCGGTGGACGCATCTGCTCGAGAAGCTGGGTCTGTCACCAGCGACCTACAAGGAGCAGATCAGCTTCTAGGGTGGGCTAGAAGCGGGAAAGGGTAGGCACGTGTAAAACTCAGACTTGTAATTGTCCTCTATGTACACTATAGCGATCGGTAAAGATGCTGATCTCCACGTCATGAACTTGACCTACCTCCTTGCGCCATTGTGACCTGCCATTAAACGATGAAACTGGTATTCTACAAACTAACAGAACAGGACTGCCAAACATTAAACTCAGAACACGCTGATGTAGTTGCCGATCCGGTCTTTCTGGTTCTGGGCTATGCACTCTGCAATCCAGGTGATGTTACGAATTTCCTGCTTGTCATTAGCTTCGCCCAGCTCACGTTCAGGGGTCTGGTGGTTATTACCTGCTCACGAAGTCTTACCCACGCGTACACAATAGCGAAAGTAAACTGCTGAGTGAATGCGCTCTTGGAGATCTCCATCTCCTTTTGGTAAAACATATCCTCCAGGCTCTTGCCGTCGGAGCTTGAGCCACCGCCCTGGTTACCCGGGCCAGACGGGCCGCCGCCGAGACCAGCCGCCTCGAAGAAGCTCTTGTAGTCACTGACACCGTCAACCGCAAGACGGACGCCCTCAAAGTCTTCCGCTCTAGAGAGCATGAGGGTTCCCTCCGGGTACAGCTTACCAAAGCTGGGGTACAACTTCTTGCGGTCATTCTTGTTAAGCTCGGTGCCGAAGGAGTTAAGCGTGATATTGATCGCACGGCGGTCGGCCTCAAACTCCAGGATCTCTGACATGACCTCAGCTGTCGGCGAGCCTGCCATATCAGGATGAGTGTTGACAAAGTTGTGGAAGTCCTCCAAGTAGTTCTTGTACAGCGTGTTTCGGACAATCTCGATATTGAGCTCGTCGAGATCCTGGTGGCTAAGACTGCCCTTGAAGTAGGCGGCAAGCGGGGTCTCGATCAAAACACTGTTGTAAAGCTCCTCGATATTCGTCGCAACGCACAGGACTGGCATCGTCTCAAACCAGCCGAGGGGATGGCATCTCTCGAGAAGCTCGCGGGTGTCTCGTTCGTGAAGGGTGCCGGTGATCAACAGAGCAACGTTGTCGATCATGTAACCGTAGGTGAGGTAGTCCATGAACTGTGCAAGAGAGCCGACAGCATTGGCGCGGACATAGCGGAACTCGGAGACAAGTTTGTCGGTCGTCTTCGCGGCGAGAGCTGACGTCGAGGGGTTGGGAGGGAGGTTGCCGAGGAAGTCGCCGTACGCAGGGCCGAGTTGCAACTTGAGATCTGGGTCCGTATTAGATGTGCATCGCACAGGGGCACATAGAAACACTCACCATCGATGGTCTCGCACTGCGTCAGGTTGGCATAGTTGGAGCCGGTAAGAAGGCCGTTCCTGTATCCACGAACGATACCCTCAATGTAACTGCACCATGTTAGCCACAGCCTATGAGCCCTATCATCCATCATAAACCCAATACTCACCCACTGTTGACGTTGAAGAATAGGCCCTCCATCTTGGCTGTGTTGTGGATTGTTTGGTTCGAAGGCGACTGGAGGTGGTGACGCCGGTCTGGTGGAGGCGCAAACGGAGACAGCTGTGGTCGTTGACTTTAGAACGCTCGCTCTCACTCACTGCCAAACCGAATTACTGCACGGCAGCTGCAAGGTCCCAGCAAGGCCAACCAAGTCCACCTTCCCTTACCTAAGGCATTACGAGTTGTAGCAGCGCACAGGCCACCGGAGGCGGCTTTTCTCGGCGAAATAGATTTTACGCGCTCCGGGCCATCCCACTTGCCAATTGGTGTGTGGGGTGGGACCCGCCCAAAGGCTCTGCAGCCATCGAAAAAAAATTGGTGGAGCTTGGTTTGGTTCAGAAAAAAATATTTCCAAACCATCAATCCGCTCGCTGGAAACCTGCCTCCGCCGACAATAACATTTACACCCACGTGCGGAGGATTTCACCCGAGGGACCAACTTGGCCAGATTTGAAGAGCATCGACGGTTCTCACAATGTCTCTCTTCGTTCTCGCCGAAACGCCGGCAGGGTAAGTTTCTATTTGGAAAAGAACCAGAAGGGAAGAAATAGTGGCAGCAATTGAAAAGCTAACACGAGAAATAGCTACGGTCTGTTCAAGGCTGCCGACAAGAAGCTTCTCAAGCGCGATGAGCTCACCACTGGACCGACCTCTTCGGAGCAGATCAACCAGATGTAAGTCGCGCTCCCACAATCGACAATTGCAGCCAGTCTTCAAGAGTGTCACGCAGCAGCGCACACGCGTGCAAGCAAACCTGTTTTCTCGGCTTTGATTAGATCGCTGCGTTTGAGTACAATCGAGGCTGACTATTGCAAAGGCTCAAGTTGAAGTCATTCGTCAAGTTCGATAGCTCCGCCGTCGCCGTCGAGGAAGCCGCCGGTCTCAAGGAGGGTCGTGTCCCGCCAATGCTCGCCAACCTGCTCAAGGAGATCAAGGACGAGAAGAAGGCCACCCTTGCCGTTGCCGACCTGAAGCTCGGTACTGCCATTGGCAAGCTTCCCGACTTGGATATCAAGGCCGTCTCCGATGCTGCCTCCCAGGACCTGTTCCGCGCTGTTCGCGAGAACCTTTCTTCCCTCATTCCCGGTCTCAGCACCGAGACTATGGACCGCATGGCCCTTGGTCTGTCGCACTCCATTTCGCGACACAAGCTTAAGTTTTCCGCCGACAAGGTCGACGCCATGGTTGTCCAGGCTATCAAATTGGTCGACGATCTCGACAAGGAGCTGAACGTCTACGCCATGCGCACCAAGGAATGGTACGGCTGGCACTTCCCCGAGCTTGCCAAGATCCTCAACGACAACCTGGTCTACGCCCGTCTTGTTGTTGCCGTTGGCATGCGCCAGGACTTCGCCGAGACCGATCTCTCCGATATCCTTCCCGAGGAGCTTGAGGGCCCTGTCAAGACTGCTGCCGAGATTTCCATGGGAACTGAGATGACCCCTGAAGATTTGGAGAACATCCAACTGTTGGCCCAGCAGGTCATCACCTACTCCGAGTACCGCACTTCCCTCTCCACCTACCTCGAGACCCGCATGCGCGCTCTCGCCCCCAACTTGACTGCTCTCGTTGGCTACCTCGTCGGTGCCCGCTTGATCGCCCACGCTGGCTCCCTCATTGCCCTTGCCAAGGCCCCCTCCTCCACCATCCAGATCTACGGTGCTGAGAAGGCGCTTTTCCGTGCTCTCAAGACCAAGCACGACACTCCCAAGTACGGTATCATCTACCACTCCTCCCTCGTTGGCCAGGCCACTGGCAAGAACAAGGGCAAGATCGCCCGTTCCCTCGCCGCCAAGACTGCCCTTGGTCTGCGTGTTGACGCTCTCGGCGACACCGAGAACCAGGACGATGAGGAGGAGCGCAGCATCCTCGGCCTTACCAGCCGCATCAAGCTTGAGAACCTCCTCCGCAAGCTGGAGGGCAAGCCTCTCCTCCCCAAGGGTGTTGGTGTTGGCCCTGACGGCCAGCTCACCGCTCCCGGTGGCTTCAGCCTGAAGGAGTCCCGCAAGTACAACGCCGATGCCGACGGTGTCGAGACCGAGGTCAACGGCAAGTCCAAGAAGCTCATCCAGGTCGTCGATGAGGAGATGAAGGACGCCGAGAGCGAAGACGAGGACGCCGAGATGAACGACGCTAGCGAAGAAGAGAAGAAGAGCAAAAAGGACAAGAAGAAGGAAAAGAAGGAGAAGAAGCGCGTCTCCATCGCCGCGGTCGAGACTCCCGTCAAGGAGAGCAAGGCTGTCAAGGGCACACCGGCGAAGCTGAGCGAAAAGGACTACGAGCGTTTCGCTGAGGCTGCTGGCATCAGCGTGTCCAAGTTCAAGCGCAAGTTCGAGCGTGGTGACGTTCAGCTCGGCGAGGACGGCACGCCCGTCGTCTTCAGCAAGAAGGAGTTGAAGAAGCTCAAGAAGGCCGAGGACGAGGCCGAAGAGACGCCCGTCAAGGCTACCGACAGCACCAAGAAGAAGCGCAAGCACGAAGATGATGAGACGCCCAAGAAGGAGAAGAAGTTGAAGAAGAAGCGCAGCTCCCTTGCTTAGGAAGCTAAGCGGCGTCGCATTTCTTATTCATAGACGGCACTTGGGCCTCATGTGCATAAACATATTGTGTTCAATGCGCTGTATGATACCTCGATCTCTCTGGCCGGCGTTTTGGGATGGACCTGGGGGGTTTTCATGGTCTGATCATTGGATGGGCATAGTTTCTCTTTTACTACTGGCAGGAAAAGTGCAATGTAATTGCTTGTTGAGTTTGACTACTGCTCCCTCGCTGTCGAATGTGATCTGCCATCCATCCAATGCTTCAACTACCTATACTTTGCTTTCTACGTGGCGATATTTCTGGAATGATAAGTGACGATGAAGAAATCTAGCGTAGGTGGCAAGCACAAATCACTCGTGGTCAAGCAGGTCACCTTCCACGGCAAAGCACGTATGCGATTCAATTCAACTAAAGTACATACGCGGTCCCGTCCAATCCAACTCACACTCAAAGGGGAATGCAGCGCTTGGTCCTGTCGCCTCTGCTGCAGATGGGTGGCTTTCTGACGTTGCAGCACTGTTTAAACTCAGCATCAATTCGAGCGATAGGAAGATGCATACTTACACGGTAGCCAGAGGGACCAGGGCAGTCGCCACTGCATTGTGAAAAATTAGCTATACATTTTGATATTGGTTAGATGAAGAGTAAGATTATGAATCTTACGTAGAGTATGTGCCGCTGCAGGAAAGAGTATCCTTCTGGCAGTATCCATTGCTGTTGCAGTCCGGGTAGAAGCAACACTTCACATCGGCCGGGTCATTGGGGCAGAGGTTGGTCTTGGTGTAGCCATTGAGAGAGCTGCACTTGGATGTCTTCTGGCAGGTTCCGTAGTTTCCCTGTACATACAGAATAGGCGTTAGTGGATGCCGTCGACGTGTTCTTGAGGATGAAATAGACCTTGCTGTCATGACAGTAGCTTCCGATGGCTGCCAGAGCACTGGAAGCGAACAAAGCTGAGATGAGGGCCGAAGTCTTCATATTTGCTGTTATTCAAGGCTCGGGATGTAAAAACGATGAGAAGATGAGATTGAACTTGTGCTGCTTGCTTCGGATTCTACATATACCTCCTGACAGGATGCTTCTGGCCTTTTATACCCCAGAGTCAAGACTGGCAACTCGATGTGAGATATTATAATTAGCCACTGCAATATCTGAACTTCTTGTCTGCGAGGACTGATCGGGGTCTTGAACGCAAGCCTCGGACGTGAAAGTTCCCTTAGCTTACTAGGAACACCGCGTTAGACGATCCCCTCCTCACCGGTCATCTTTTGGAACATGCGCCTTGCCACTGCAGCATTCATGACCATATGGCTACATCGCAGAAGTCTGGGCCAGTGCAGACTTCCATCTATGTTTCTCAAGTGAGACGACAACCTCACCATTGGTTGGTGTAGTCCGTAGCTAGTCAATTGGGCGACAAATCCGAGAGGGACGAGAATAGCTGACTAGGTCGTTCGACGGGCGCTTACATAGGACAACATGATGAAGACACACTGAGGCTTTTCGATGCATTAGTCTCTTCAATACTTTAGTTCCAATGTGGAAGGAGGGTTTACTGCTCGAGGAGGTTGTTAAGTAGATTGCTTACACGGAGTCGGGGTAACGTTGAGTCTAGGCCATGCAAAAAGCAAACGAGGTGTTCAGCTGAAATGCAAGATCCAGGACCGAGACAACCACAACCAATCGCTTGGGACTTTTCCATAAAAGAACTACATTTCTGACTTGGAAACCCCTCACGAAACTACTTAGACAGTTGTCTTTGGCAAGTATGTTGTAATCAGGGATAGAGTCGCCAGATAGCTCTAGGTTTCTGACCACCAACAAACATATTCTGCATGTGTTTCAAGCCACAATGGAACCTTGAGAGAAACAAGTACTCTCAGAGAAATCACGGATCATTTTCCATGTCCATGTATACTATTTCTGTCGAGCCAATCGCCAATCAACCGTTTGTGAAGATGGTGAGCCGGTGAGCCGGTGAGGGAAGTTACACCGACAAGCGAACACGTGACAGATCTCGGTGGATCCACGTGATTCTCGACCGTGAACGCAGCAGCAGCATCATCACCACGCATGCTCACTCACGAAAGCGCTGTGGCCGCCAATCTCATACATCAATGTTGCTCCTGAGCTGGTGAATGGAAATGGACGATCGACAGCGGGGCAACATCCATGGCGACCGTCCACGGCCTGACCTGCGAAGCCCCGAGCAGCTCACCCAGAACGGGTTCGACCTCGATGCTGAACATGGAAGCCAGTGGTCGGGCGATTATTACGACCGCCGAGCGACACGAGCTCTTGGTCCCAATGGTAGGTCGCTCTTTTCATTCTCTCATAGATGCCCGACTCCCAATTTCAGGTGGTCATCTCCCTGAACATCGCCCGCTGCTTTTCGCCCTTCTGGCTGCTGTCCATCGTACAATACCACCAGCGCGTCAATGCACTCAAAGCCGAAGCGAGGGGCATCGCTCTTGTAATATTTGACCACTCAGCCCTGCAAGTTAAGAGGTGATGGTCATTTGTTTGATGTCGCCTCGAGTTGCATGCGTCCGACAGGGGGGTCGGTCTCTACGTGGAGGGGCATCATTTCGACTACTGTTCGATGAGAATCCATAGCTCTTCATTGCAGCTTTTTGCACAAACCTTGTCTAGCTTTCAGTTTTCTCCTTGATTTGCACTTCTTGCACAAAGACATTGATGAAATACGGGAAAAATTAGTCTCCTATGTCTTTCGAAGTCGATTAGACGCCCAGTGCGCGAGATTGGACCAGGGGGTCGCATGACACCCGCCTGGTCCATGTTCTGGCCCCGGCCATCAACATCGGACGGTTGACAAGTAGCAAACCAGCCATAGACCTCGACCGTTTCACTTCTAGCTTGACATCACAACACTGCTGACTCATGCGCCCCTTAGGCGGCTCACGTCGAGACGAAGACGACTCTGATGACGGCGAGGCATTCCCACCGCAACGCGTCGACTGGGAGGCCATGAGAGCTGGCGCCAACATGGAGGAGTATCTACGAAGCCAGCCCATCCCGGAGTATTCTGACGAGGAGGGCATCAGCATGCCACTCGATGACCTTGGCGAGATCTCTGGCACCGACACTAGTGTTGAAGATGGAGAAAACGGCGACCAAGTCGGGGACCAACAAGATGAGCCCGAGTTCGACCCCCTCGCTGTCGGTCTGAAGGAGATTTCAAATCTGGGGAAATTCACCGTCAGCAGCCACAAGCAGGGGAACGGCGTCGACCAGCTTCGTGACGACAGCTTGAAAACCTATTGGCAGTGCGTTTATCCGACGACCCATTCCGAGAATAAATGCACACCTTTGCTGACGATAAGACAGATCCGATGGTCCTCAGCCGCACAAGCTTACAGTCTACTTCATCAAGCGAGTCGGCATCAGGGACATTCGCTTCTACGTAGACTACAATGAAGATGAATCCTACACACCAACCAAGATCATCTTCAAGTCCGGTACCAGCGAGAACAATCTCATTCAATTTGCCACAATGGAGCTCTCGACACCCTCTGGCTGGCAGATTGTTCCAGTCGACGGCGCTGGCGGCGGCCCCGACGGTAACACGCTGGTTTCCTACGTGTTCCAAATGCAGATACTTGAGAATCATCAGAACGGCAAGGATACGCACCTTCGTTCTATCAAGATCTACGCTGCGGATACGGACACCCCCAGCATCGACGCGGACATATCAAACCGCGTAAGTTGATCTCCTTGAACATGCGACAAGTATGTGACTGACAACATCTAAAGCGAGCTGTGAGTGAGGAACCAGACGAGGAACCTGCAGACCCCTGGGATCTCTCCGTTCTCGAAGCTGGCCTATCTGTTCCGGATTTCATGAAGGAACCAGAGATTCGATGAGCCAGTGGAACTGGCTTCTTAAACCACGACTTCGACACTCGAGTGAGCCACAGCCTCGGTCACTTTAGCTGGACATGCCACTCAAAGGGCGAGGGCGTTCGCGTGTTATGGACTGCATATGACACTGCAACTATTTTTTTGCTGTAATGATACCCAAAAGTCGGATGCGGAGAAGGCTCTCACAGAGCTAGGAGTTTGGTGGCACGTTACGCCCAACAAAAGGGCCGTTCTGGTAGACTTCCCAGCATTCACGCGGCCATGAAAGGACGGCATACTGTATTGACAACACTACTGAGGTGCCACCGCATATTTAGCAACAGCTTCACACCATCCCGTGTCTTCTTGGCAGCCACGGCTGCCTGTCATGCGTCTAGCTAGCGCGAGCGGCTGAGGTCTGGCCCTCAGTTGATTGGTAACTTCCATCGTGACCCCTGCTGGACCGGACGAATTGTATCCGACTCTGGTAATAAGGCTTTCGAAACGAAAATCCGCACGTGATGACACTTGACATGGTTCGAAAGATATCTACAACTTGGCTAACAATGTGGCAGGATATTGCGAGCTGATGCTCAAATCCGAGAGCCAGAGGCATCATCCGTTCCTAAAGAGAAGAGCACAATGGAACGGAACAGCACGTATCGATATCAATCTCTGCCACCGATTGCGGAAGAGGGTCGCACACCGTCCTTCACCCGACTCCTCTTCCTGTACCCAGGCTCGGGAGAGGACCCCTTTGAAGCGCATCTAGAAATTGTCGACATCGAGCATGCGCCTCCCTACGAGGCTTTGTCTTACACGTGGGGGAAACCGACGGAACAGCCGAGAGACTACATCTGGATGCAAGGCTGCCCTATGCCTATCAGGCCAAATCTAGAAGATGCTCTGCGCTCTCTACGCTTGCCGAACCAGGTGCGAAGGCTGTGGGTCGATGCGCTCTGCATCGATCAGTCTGACCTGGACGAGCGTGCTCGGCAGGTCCAGTACATGAGGCTGGTCTACAAACACGCTGCCCGCGTTATCGTATGGCTCGGTCTCAAGACTTCCGGGACACATGAAGCGTTCCAGGCCGCGGAACGGCTCGCAAGAATCAGAGAACTTACTCATCCAGCGGCTACTGGACCTAAAGGTGGGCAAATCGACCCCGGCACAGTCCAGGGCCTGATGAGCAGCATGCTCGAAGACCTACCGGAGACATGCATCATCCACCTGGACGAAGTCTTTGAACGCCAGTACTTCAGCCGTTGCTGGTGTGTGCAGGAGGTGGTGGCATCTTCAAGGGCGATTGCCAAGATTGAGGACCTGGAAATGTCGTTTTTCGACTTGATCGCCTCATTGATTGTGCTCGCGGGTTGGAAAAGCGAGATCCTCATCGACCGACCCTACCAATTATGGAATTTGATCCTCATGCGACGGCAACCCAACAGTTTCCTCGGCCAGCCCGAGGTCGAGGGCTCGATTGGCTCGTTTCTCGCACTTCTGGAGCTGACGCGAACATTGCAAGCGACGGATGACCGAGACAAGGTGTTTTCCCTCCTCGGTATCTGCGACGAGGGGCTGAACCCTGTGCTGGCGTTGACGCAGGTCTTTGACAACAATGACAGTTGGCGCATTCGGTTAATTCGTCGAGGCTTGACACGGGTCAATAATTTCGTCAATGGTCTTGCTCCGGATCTCAACTTTGGTCGGCCGAGAGCTTTGCGTCCAGATTACAAAAGGGAGACCGTGCTGGTGTACTGCGATCTTACGAGGTTCCTCTTGCGCAAACAGCCTCGGATTCTCGACGTCCTTGACCACGTACAACATAACGAGGACCCAGGCATCGGTGACTATCCGTCCTGGGTTCCAAAGTGGTTTGACCCAAGGACATGCTCCGTCTTCAAGGGAGCCTATCTCGCTGGCTTTTGCGATGGGCATTTCCGTTATTTTGCCGAGCTTCACGATATTCCGGTCCGCAACGATCCCGTGCGGCCAAAGGTTCTGTCTATAGATGGGTATCATGTTGATGTGGTATCGAAAACGACCGAAACACTTGCGTTTGGATTTGGGGCTCGTGCTACTGCGGAAGCTATTGTGAGAGCTTGGGAGCAGCTTTTCGACATACCGATCGCCCCCAGATGCGGAAGAAAGTATCGCGATAACATTCTACTGGATGTGGTATTCTGTAAAGCCATCTTGGCTGGTGCTCTGGGTTCCATTATTGGCTATAGTCACCTCCTTACTAGGAATCAGGGAGGATTGAACCCGCTCTTCGACGATCGTACCCATAAACCTCACGCTGAGCTCGACCGAGAGGCTCAAGACTTGGCGGAGACATTCCTTACCCAGATGGCTGAGTTCGGTCTCCCGCCAACGGCGACGGAATTCGGGAACCCGGATCGAGAGGACAAGCTGCAGGTCTTTGGAGCAGGGGCGCGTACCTACTCGAATAACCGAAAGGTATTTGCGACCCGTGATGGCCGTGTGGGCATCGGGCCCAAGATGATGCAGCCTGGGGACGAGGTCGTCGTTCTTTTCGGGGGCCGGATGCCCTTCATTGCACGACAGAGGGGTGACCACCGACTGCTGGTTGGGAGCTGCTACTTGGTTGACGAAGAGCTGATGTGGGGGAAGGTGACCGAGAAAGTGAGATTTAATCGTGGCGGTCCTCCGCGGGTGACATTTGAGTTCCATTAAGTCGCGGTCGCGAGAATTTAAGACTCTTCATGAAATCCCACCTCAACGGCCACTTATTTCAGCCTGCGCATTGCTGCCCCCGACTTAACCAATCAAGCAACATTTCTTTCCTGCACACTGCGAAATTTGCTGTCGGATGACTTTCCGAATGCAAGCCTCCACATCATCTGATAGCAAAGATTGTCACCAAAAGCTCGAGGTCAGCATAACAGTTACGAAGCACTCGAAAATGAAGATTCTCCTGATCGGAAAAGGCGGTCGCGAACATGCCCTTGCATGGAAACTCACTCGATCGCAATCAGTAGGGCATGTCTACGTTTTGCCAGGCAATGCTGGCACCGGAACCTTGACGAAAGTCTCGAATTGCCGCGGAATAGCCGTTGACGACTATGGTGGCCTCGTGGAGCTGTCAAAGAGGCTTGAAATCGACCTTGTCATCATCGGCCCAGACGACGCTGTTGTTGGAGGCATGGGAGATCACTTTCGGAGCAGTAAGCCATTTGGATCATATAAGGAAGTATTTTCTAACACAATATAGATGGAATCCGTTGCTTTGCCCCAAGTAAGAGGGCGGCCATCATCGAAGGCTCCAAGGACTTTGCAAAGGACTTCATGTGCAGACGCAAAATTCCGACCGCGTGCTACGAAACCTTTGACAGGGCTGACTGCGACAAGGCCAAGGCGTATGTACGAAGGTTGGGCCGTAGAGTGGTCATCAAGGTGGACGGCCTTGCAGCAGGAAAGGGTGTCATCCTTCCCGAGACGACCGTAGAGGCGGAGCAAGCCCTCGAGGACATCATGCTCAAGGGCAAGTTCGGTGATGCTGGCGAGATGGTGATTATTGAGGAGTACCTCGAGGGTTATGAAATTAGCGTCCTCACCTTCACTGATGGAACATCGATTCTCTCTCTGCCGCCGAGCCAAGACCACAAGCGCGCTCTTGACGGCGATAAGGGACTGAATACTGGCGGCATGGGCGTGTATGCGCCTGTTCCTTCCGTGACTGAGGAGCAGATGGCCGACATTGAAGAAAAGATCATCTTGCCGACTATTGTTGGCCTTAAGTTAGAAAGTAAGTCGGGAACAAAGTAGTGATAACACACATGAGGCTAACCTAGAGACATAGGAAGACCTTTCAACGGCATGCTCTTCACGGGGGTAATGATGACGTCCACAGGCCCCAAAGTGCTTGAGTACAACGCGCGTTTCGGCGACCCAGAGACGCAGAGCATGGTGCTTCTCCTGCCAGACGAGGCTTTGCCAGAAATCATTCTCGCTTGTGTAGAGGACAGGCTGGGTGACATCGAGCTGAAAACACTTGCAGGTTTTGCCTGCAATATTACTGTTGCGGCTAAGGGCTATCCAGAATCATACAGGAAAGGGGATCTTATCCGAATAGAACCTACCTCTGAAGGTGAGTCTGCACTAGTAGGATTGTGCCATGGTCTATCGCTGACCACATCCATACTTAGGTGTACATGTCTTCCACGCCGGAACTGATCAGGTCGACGATGAATTATTCACGGCAGGCGGTCGTGTCCTGTCCGTTGCCGCGACGGGTGAAACCCTCGAGGAAGCAGTATCGGCTGCTTACAAGGGGGTTGAAAGTGTTCATTTTGAGGGCATGTTCTACCGCAAGGATGTTGCGATGCGGTAAGTCAGGCCGAGAGCCGTCTACATTCCCCTCAGACTCCAATTACGGGATAGTTTGGCTGATACGATTAAGCTCGCTGAAGCTCGCTCCGGGAAGGGCCGAGGATGGTCCTCACTAGCTCGAGGGGTAGCCAAGATCGGAGCTTGGACCGTTGCCGTTAAGGTTTCTGAGGTGATAGGTCAACAAGTTGGGATGACCTTTTGGCATGGCTGAAGGCAGATAACCAACCATCCAACCTGACATCGCCTAGCTCAAGCGTCGGGACATTCTGCGAGGGCGGGGTGGTCTGGAAGGGCCGAAAACTCCATGTTCTAGGCCCAGCTGACATGACAAACGTATGGGGGGTTCTCTGGAAGCTTTCGGCCGTGAAACATTGCAGCCACTGACGCATCGGGAGGACCGTGATGGCGGGATGTAGGAGATGCAGGAGATGCAGGCAACCGATGGACCCGAGTCTAGACCGTTGTGGTGTGATGTCACACATCAGCGAGCCTTTAAATAGGAATTAGGAGCTCCCCCGGACTCCCCGGAGCTATAAGTCCGGAGATAGTCAGTTTTGGCCGATGTAAACTCGTTCTTGGTGTGCTACAACTCTCTCTCTCCCCATCAACAGCAATCATGAACGTCTTTATCGTTCCGGCATCTCCCAAGACTGGGCAGGCGACCATTCGGTCTCTCCTTGACCACCCTTCGCAGCCACACGTAACGGGTGTATATCGAGACCTGGGAAGGGTACCGGCTAAATTTAAGGACCATCCTCGATTTAAGGCTATCAAGGGCGACGTTGCAGATGTTTCGAGTCTCAGATTCGCCGGGGCTGACGCCATCGTATCCATCACGCCTCCGCAGTACTCCGAGTCCAAGCCGATAACTAGAGCACGGGAGATGGCAGCAAATGTCAAGTTTGCTATCAGTAGGGTCGGGTGTTCGGTAAAGCGTCTGGTATATGTGTCTAGGATAGGGGCTCATTTGGAGCATGGGACGGTAAGTCGAAAGAGAGGATATTCGCAGAAGGCAGATGGCTGAAGTAGATGTCGTAGGGCGAGATAAGAACGAACTACGAGGCAGAGCAAGCACTCATCGGTGCCGCACCCGAGGTGGTCTTTGTTCGATGCGCCTACTTCATGGAAAATTGGGCGTCAGTACTTAAGACAGCAAGTGATGATACACCGCATTTTTCTTCTGTGCTGTGTCCTATAGACTACGCAATACCCATGGTGAGTTTTACCAGGCAGTTCGCCCTAAATGAGAAAGACACTTTCCTAAGATTTACAACCAAGGTCTCGGTGAAAGACGTTGGTCGGACATGCGCCAGGGAATCTCTCGCAATAAGCTCGCCGATGCGACATAATCCCTATATCTTCAACTTATACGGGCCAGAATCATATTCAACAAAGGACGTGCATAGAGCGGTTGAAGATCTAACATTCAAGTACAACAAGGTCAAGGTCACTCTAGTGGAAGATGAGCAGCTGGAGGACTTTTTTGCTCAATCATATCGGCCACCGACGGCTGAACTCTTCGTAGAGATGACAAGGAGTCTCTTGCCCGGAGGGATTGTAGCCGGGAATATGCGGGAGGGACATTTGCTTCAGAGGGGGAGCGAGACCCTACGCGAGGTGATTGAAGACATCCTCAAGGAATAAGAAGCGCAGGACACTGGCGACTCAAATACCCAAGTGATGAAGTTTCGCCGCCAGCAGGAGGAGAGGAAAGGACAAGAAAAGAAAGAGAAGGATGAAGATCAGCTGCGCAAGAGAAGAGAGGAAAAAGAACGGTACTGACCGCGCTCAAGAGGACTAGAGGTCCAAACCGGCCGAAGTGGTCATCAAACAAGACCCGCCTTGCTAGCTCAATCGGTAGAGCGTGAGACTCTTAATCTCAAGGTTGCGGGTTCGACCCCCGCGTGAGGCTCAAATCCTCACCGCGATTGGCTAAGCCATTCTTCGGGTTCTTTATCTTTTGCTTTTTGCACCGCTGAAGTTCTGAACCATCCCATTAACGATGATGCTTGAAATCAAGTAGCAAGCCACAACCTTATCTTCACACCCACCACTAGGGGTCTGAGGTGCTTCCTTGGATGCAATTTAGAGTGCACTGTCATACCGCCACCATCATTCGCTTTTCTTCTCTAAGCTGCAGTGAAGCCGAAGCCGAAGCCGATGTAGGTCAAGTCAAGCCGAAGGCCCCTGAACAAGCATAAAACATGCGAGTGCCCAAGCCCCCCCCAAACGATCTTGTATTACTCGATCTGGAAGAACAAGCATATGGTGTACTCGCTTCCAGTGACTAGGATGTCTCGCCCCGTGGTGAGAAGCCGTTGGAGTCAAGGAATCTCATACCCTGTTTCCGTCGTCTTCGGCTCAACCCACAAACCATCCAGGCAGGCATGGTCGCTTCGAGGGGGGCCTTGAGTGTCCTCCAACTGAATTCGAGATCCCGGCGTTGTTGATTGGCCTGATGCTCAAGGTCACAGAGAAGCTCACGCAACATGGACAACTACCTACTTTTGACCGTTTCCCGCTTGACCCACCATGTGGTACTCTCGTTTAGCGACTTCGCAAGCCGACGCTTGTCTGACGGGATGCGACAAAGATGTTCGGCTTGAGAATGCCAACCTGGACGGCTGGGATTGCTTAATTAGCTTTAAGAGCGGCCCAGCGCTCTCTCGAATTCGATCCTTGGCAGGTCTTATGGAACAATCTGCCCATGCCAATTTTACCATTCCCTCTGGCGATCCGAGATGTTGAGGACTGCAACTCAAAGTACTCCTTCCGAAAAAGTCTCACAGATCGTGATGGCGTATGATGAAGAGAAAAGTCAACTTCCGTCGTTGCCGACAAGCGACGACGAGACAGCACGAGTCGACGAGGAAGAGCTAGTCATGGACCAAGGACTTGTCGCATGGCTTCAAGTTCTTGGAAGCTGGATTTTGTTTGCCAATACCTGGTACGATGACCCCGTAGCAGCTGATGCCGGTCCAGACAAAAACCGCAGTACTCAAGTTGACGTTATTCAAGGGGTTTGACAAATTCATTCGGAGTCTTCCAAGCCTACTATTCCAACGTCCTCTTACCAGACGTCAACCCTTCGGCTATTTCTTGGATCGGCTCCATCCAGATCTTTCTTATGATGCTCATCGGTGTCTGCGCGGGTTGGCTTCTCGACGCGGGGTATCTTCGCTTCATCCTCATTTGCGGCACTACCATGACGTCTCTCGGGCTATTTATGCTGAGCTTGTGCACGAAGTATTGGCAGATTCTCCTCGCGCAGGCGCTCTGTGTCGGAATGGGCAGTGGGTTGCTGGGGTTGACTTGTGTGGCCGTGATTCCTCTCTACTTCCGCAAGAGGAGGATGATAGCGACTGGCATTGCTGCTACGGGAAGCAGTCTAGGTGAGCTCCGAAAAGACGCCGAGATGACGATGTACGCAAGCACGGGTACTAATGTATTGTCAAGCGGGAATTGTGTATCCCATCATGGAGAGACGCCTGATTGCATCCATTGGCTTTCCTTGGGCTGTTCGGGTGTTCGCATTCATCGTTACCGGAAGCCTCCTGGTTTGCATTGCAATCATGCGTCTTCGGCCCAATCTCAAGCGGCGTGGTGCTCTCTTTCGCCTGAAGCACTTTCGCGATGTTCCCTATGTCTCATTTTGCATCGGTCAGTCTCGTTTCCAAAAGGTCTTCGACTCACTACGGTAATTAACACACAATCAGCCTTCGCCCTGATGATTGGCTCGGTTTACATCCCCTTCTTCTACGTAGATGCCTATGCCATTCGTCAGGGCGTCGATCAAGACACTTCCTTTTACATCCTCAGCGCCATGAACGCTGCAAGTCTCCTCGGTCGTCTAGCCCCCAACTGGCTTGCTGACAAGTACGGCGGTATGACCGTTATGCTCCCTTGCTGTCTTTGCTCGGCCACCGTTCTCTTTCTCTTCCGCTTTGCGACCGACCTGCCGGGTTTGGTCGTAATATCAATCGTGTACGGCTTCGTCTCGGGCGGCATGGTATCTTTACCTCCGGCTACTATTGCAAATTTGACGGATGATTTGTCAGAGTATGGGACGAGAATGGGCATGGGATACACCATCGCCAGCTTTGGCGCGTTGATCGGGAACCCTATTGGAGGTGCCGCGCAGCGTCCGCAAGGGAACACAGCGACAGATGTGCAGAGGGAGTTTCAGGGTACTTGGATTTTTGCGGGGGGGTTCATGCTCGCAGCTTTCAGTTCGATGGTGATATCAAAGTACGTCAGAGTTGGATCGGTCTTGCGCGGTAAATGCTAGCCTTCAGAATTTTGCTGTGGTCTCCTCTCTGTAGGCTTTGGCCCAGTACCATAGGATCATCCCAATCTAGTTAAGACAAAGAGTAGAACGTAACCTCTGCAATCATCGTCCTGGCTGGGATCGTAACGGAGATCGGAAAGCCGCCGTAATCTGGGTCCTCGTTAGGCATCATCGCGAACTTGCCGCTCCTCGTTTCATCTCCGTTCAAAACTCTGCTGGTTTTCAAGCGGCCGGCCCCTTCGTCCTCTACAATCTTCTCCTCAAACTTGAGTATGCCGGTGAAGCTCCGGTCCTGGCCCAATGCCTTTGCCTTGACCTGGAAACCCCAGCCGATGAGCAAGAATTTGCCTCCACCTCGATGTATCACCATTCCAGCCCCTGTTCCGGACTTGCCGAACACAAAGCACCGTTCTATGGTGATCTCAAACTCTCCCCAGGTACGACGGATGACAGGGCTTGGGTCCTTCCCGGTGCCATCCGCCGGCAATTCGTCGAAGCAGAAGCCCACTGACGTGTTCGGGTGTCGTTGTGCTTCAAGGACGATGGACGAAACAGACTTCAGCAGACCATAGTGCTTGGTGAAGGGACTGTCCTCTGGCTCGATAGTATCCACACCAAAGGGGGCAACCCCCATAGCACCGTAGGTTCCGTACGCAATCCAGATGCGGCGTGCTCCGTAGTCGTCTCGTCGTTGCTCCGGGATGAAGAGAGGTTGATTACGGTGCCTGTACTTGGCGCAAGAGCTGGCGTAGTCGTTGAGATAGACATCGGGCCCGACAAAGTCCAGCTTCGGCGCGAAGCGCATCCATACGTCCAAGACGTTGCTCA